TAGAGAACTCATACTCACTATCTTTCTCTTTTTTTTCTTCAGCTTTCTGTATCTATTAATTTATTCATTATATCCATGTATGTGTATAACAAATAGATGTATATAATTAATGTTTATTTGTACTGTTTATAATGTTATATATATATATATATATATATATATATATATTTCTTTTTCTTTTGTCTATCTAATCGTTATATACATTTATGTGCATAATAATAGGTATGTAATATTTTGTGTATTTGTGCTGTATGTAACAGTAATTCTGATATTGAATCAATTTTATGATATGACATAATACTAACCTTTTAAAACATGCTCCCTTTCTACTCAATCTGCGACCAGATAGGGGCAAACGTTTATTTTTGTTTGCACCCATTATACACTATATATTTAATAAATATAAAAATATCACTTTTAAAATATCACAGTATGTCTATCTATCACAATATTCGACACGTTATCACACGTTATAACGGTCGAGTCGCGCACTGCGTGTAAGCACGTATAGTACGTACCGCGTGACAAGTGAACCATCCCGCGCAAATATATGTCATTGCGCGCACACGATTTTGTTAACAAATATGTATATATAGGGTGTCTACATGCTACATTTTTAGCATGTACCCAATTTTTGTTATTTTTCGCAAAATTATAATTACACAATTATTTAATATAATTATATATAAAAAATTTTCCCGCGTTGTATGTGTCGTAAGGAGATATATGTATAATTGATCGTTTGCATTGAATGTCACTACTTTCTGAAAAGTAAAAAGAGAGCTCTCTCTCTCTCTCTCTCTCTCTCTTTTCTTGATCCTTTATGCTTATTGTTAGTATTCTATCAATTAGTAATCAATGCAATCAATCATATCGTTTTACGGCAACAGCCAGTTACTCGTTCACTCACTCATTCATTCTTTTAAAATATGTCCATTTTTATACATAATTATGTAAATTTATATATAAAAAATAAGGGTGCATATATAATCATGTCAAATTTGTATATAAAACATATATATTTATATATATAAAGAAATACTTATTTATTACACTTGTATATATATACAGGTGTTCGGGAATCCGGTGCCAACCGTTGAGGGGTTGTAGGGTAGGTGAAAAGATGATGATTTTTCTCAGCAAAAATGTTGAGAAGTCAATAATTTTCGAGTTATAAGCGATTGAAAAAAATGGGTTTTTTGAAAACTAAACGTTTTGGAGTTCAAAGTCTAACATAATTACATTCTTCAGTAATTTCAGGTAGAGTTTACTATAATACAATTTTAATTTGAGGCTTAGTTATAAAGATACATAATGACAATATTGGAAAGTTGTAAAAATGATGACCTTTTTGACATTTTCGCTGAGGAAAAATCGTTCCCAAATTGACCAAAGAATCCATTTGTGATCGTTGGTCCGTTAGTTACCGAACACCCTGTATATATATATATATATATATATATATATATATATATATATAAATTATATAATTATATATAACAAGCACTTTTACTTATTATGTATAGACATATTTCATAATATAATTCTGCGATTATACGTATACTTTATATATTTCTATATAATGTTATATTATTATATACACAAATTTTGTCCCGGGGTATTTTAAACTTTTATTTTCTTTTTCTTTCCCCATTCTTGTCTGTCTTTACATGCATGTTATTATGTTGTATGTGTATCATGTATAATTTGGATTTGTATGTATGTTGAGAAGATTGGAATAGATAAAATTTATTACTTCATGTTTTTATATTATAAATGCAGCTTTTTGTAAATATCCGAAATAAATAATTTTTCTACAAATATTTTAAATTATCAAAAATATTTTTTACTGCACAATTAGACTAATATATTTTGCATTATTCTATCTTTATTAATTTATTTTATAATAAAATGGATTTTATTGAACAAATAATAAATAGTAAATAGAGAAAATATAAAATATCGAAAAGAATATATTCATATAAACATATATTTGTGAAATCGAAATTTTGTTAAAATTGACTTTCATAGAAATTGTATTTTATAAATTTAATTAAAAAAGCTGCATTTATCAGATAGAAACATAAAGTAATAAAATAATATATTCCAATCTTCTCAACACACACACACACACACACACACACACACACACGCACACAACTTCTTATAACAAATGTTATATAAATTATACATATACAGGATGTAACAACGATCATATATCAGGAGTTTTTAGAAGAAAATACGTATTTTATTGAAAAATGTTTTATTACCAAAGTTATAAGGGTTACTTATCATTACATAGTAGTATTAGTATTATGTTGAATAGCATTATCAAAGTCACATAAAGATTATTTGGAAATAATGGAAACCCTCATTTTTTATTGCATGTACATACATGTAGCTTACTTTGAGAGCATTTCTAAATAAATTTTTCATTCTGTGCATGCAATAAAAAATGAGGGTTTCCATTATTTCCAAATAATCTTTATGTGACTTTGATAATGCTATTCAACATAATACTAATACTACTATGTAATGATAAGTAACCCTTATAACTTTGGTAATAAAACATTTTTCAATAAAATACGTATTTTCTTCTAAAAACTCCTGATATATGATCGTTGTTACATCCTGTATATGTATAATTTATATAACATTTGTTATAAGAAGTGTGTGCGTGTGTGTGTGTGTGTGTGTGTGTGTGTGTGTGTGTGTGTGTGTGTGTGTGTTGAGAAGATTGGAATATATTATTTTATTACTTTATGTTTCTATCTGATAAATGCAGCTTTTTTTAATTAAATTTATAAAATACAATTTCTATGAAAGTCAATTTAACAAAATTTCGATTTCACAAATATATGTTTATATGAATATACTTTTCGATATTTTATATTTTCTCTATTTACTATTTATTATTTGTTCAATAAAATCCATTTTATTATGAAATAAATTAATAAAGATAGAATAATGCAAAATATATTAGTCTAATTGTGCAGTAAAAAATATTTTGATAAATTTAAAATATTGTAGAAAAATTATTTATTTCGGATATTTACAAAAGCTGCATTTATAATATAAAAACATGAAGTAATAAAATTTATCTATTCCAATCTTCTCAACATACATACAAATCCAAATTATACATGATACACATACAACATAATAACATGCATGTAAAGACAGACAAGAATGGGGAAAGAAAAAGAAAATAAAAGTTTAAAATACCCGGGACAAAAATTTGTGTATATAATAATATAACATTATATAGAAATATATAAAAGTATACGTATAATCGCAGAATTATATTATGAAATATGTCTATACATAATTAAGTAAAAGTGCTTGTTATATATAATTATATAAATTTTATATATATATATATATTATATATATATATTTACAAGTGTAATAAATAAGTATTTCTTTTATATATAAATATATATGTTTTATATACAAATTTGACATGATTATATATGCACCCTTATTTTTTATATATAAATTTACATAATTATGTATAAAAATGGACATATTTTAAAAGAATGAATGAGTGAGTGAACGAGTAACTGGCTGTTGCCGTAAAACGATATGATTGATTGCATTGATTACTAATTGATAGAATACTAACAATAAGCATAAAGGATCAAGAAAGAGAAGAGAGAGAGAGAGAGAGAGAGAGAGAGAGCTCTCTTTTTTACTTTTCAAAAAATAGTGACATTCAATGCAAACGATCAATTATACATATATTTCTTTACGACACATACAACCCGGGAAAAATTTTTTATATATAATTATATTAAAATAATTGTATAATTTTATACATATATAATCGCAAAATTATATGTATAATTATACAATTATTTATATAATTATATAAAAAATTTTTCCTCGGCTGTACGTGTCGTAAAGAGATATACAATTCACCGTTTGCATTGAATGTCTCTATTTCGGGGAAAGAAAAAAAGCTCGCTCTCTCTCTCTCTCTCTCTGTCTCTCTCTTTTTGTTTTATAGATTGCATACAATTTATCTTACATTTACAGTAAAAGTAATTTTTATAACAATTTACAGGTATATGCGAACAAATAAAATTCGTTAGAATCACAATGTCTATCAAATATATATTTCAGTAAAATCATTACTCGAATTACTTCGATGTATGAAAAATAAGATTTAGTTTTTATAAATTATAAATGCATATACTTATTATCTATAAAAATCATGTGAATATTATTGTATTATACAAATATAATTAAAATAAAATTGTATGTCATTATATATTTCATGTGTTTGATAATATAAATAACACAAAATTTTTTCTGTTTTATATATAGTTTTTTATAGAAAAAAATTGATGTATTATTTATATTATCAAACATAAAATATATAATGGCATACATTGGCTACACTAATTCAGAGGTTATCTTTTTCCTTCCAATGTCGAACAAAAAAGACAACCTCTGAACTAATGTGGCCAGTGTAGCCAAAACGAACAGACCTTATAAAAAACAGAAAGAGAGAGAGCGAAAGAAAGAGAGAGAGAGAGAGAAACACGTTGCAGCTCCATCTATCACGATATCACGCAACTAATCTACTGCTCTGTTTTATTCCGCAGCCTCGATTTGCACACACACATATGCGTGAAATGTTTTTTTATATATAACTTTTTTTTAGACTTGCAATCTCACTTTTAATTGCTTACTAATATTTCTTCATATAATCCTTACCGCGCATACTATATTTCATGCACAGACAAACTGCAAAACTTTTTTTATTAAATAAGTATTATTACGAACTGACACAAAGCAGCCGATAACAAAACTGTAATTTTTGATTTTTATATGATTTATATATGCAAACATAGCTAGCGCGGTCCGTTTTTATAAGTACTTTAATCGTGGAAAAGGATTTATTGATCAGTATAGTCAATAAAAAGTTATATGAAAAAATAAATATTCTCGCATTCGGTCGGTAAAAACATCATTTAGGATCCCCTTAAGGGGAGATATACACCTAGCATGGTCGAAAAAATCGATTTTTTTTTTTGCATTTTCTTGATGCTTGAGGTCTCAAGAATATCTGGTTAAAATTGCAAGTCAATATCTCGATAAATAACGAAGTTACAGCCGAGAGAGTAAACCGTCTCCGAGAGCGCGCCGTACCGCCTGTTTTGCGGCCGAGCCGAGAGGCAGCGACCCTTCGAAGAGAGCGTGTCTAGACCTGTTTTACGATTCTATTGTGTTTTCGAGCGTGGTCGGGTCCAGGTATAACGCAAATATCACACGACCGTTATTCTTTGCCGGAAATTGGACGCGTTTCGTCAGTAACTTGCCGTTCGTGCAACTGTGCGTTACAGTGAGTTTTCGTCTGTGAATACATATTCTGAGGAAAATGGATAACAGATATAAAGGTTCTCGGGAAGCTCATCAATCCGGATCTTTTCGCAAAGATCGAAGCAAGAAGAAGATACCGCCCAAAAATCGAAATACTGCCGAAAAAGTAGAACTTTCCGACGAGAATATTAGTTCCAGTGCCAAAAAATTGAAGACTGATCGTGAGACATCCGCACCAGAAGATCCAAACATCGGGTATCGAATTTTGAATTTTCTGGCAGTGTTTTCTGCCTTATCGGAATGTGTAAAATGCAAAAAGTGTGATAGTGATGTTCGATTCTCAATAGAAAGCACTCGAGGACTCGGTTTTAAAATTGTAGTTTCGTGTTCATCGTGCAAACCGACTTTTATTCCTTCGTGCCCGTACATCAAGACTGCTTACGAAATAAATACACGATTCTTTTTTGTTATGCGTTTATTGGGGATTGGTTTGCGTGGAGCTATGAAATTTTGTGGCCTCATGGATTTACCGCCTCCGGTTCAACAAACGACGTATGATATGATAATTGAGAACATTCATTCTGCTGCTTCAAGTATTGTTCAATTGGTGTTAAAACAAGCTGTAAGAGAAGAACAACAGGAAATAATAAAACAAAATTCGAGTGATGATATCAAAAAACTGACCATTTCAGGAGATGGTACGTGGCGAAAACGTGGTTTTACCTCATTATATGGAGTTGCGGTTCTCATTGGTCACTTGACAGGAAAAGTCGTTGATTTCATTGTAAAGTCTGCTTATTGTGTTGAATGCAACTATTGGAATAAACACGTCAATACCGAGCAATATCAGGAATGGAAATCTAATCACGAAGAAAATTGCCAGGCGAATCATGTCGGATCGGCAGGCAAAATGGAAGTAGACGCCATGAAGGAATTATTTTCAAGATCTGTCGAAAAGCATGGAGTTATGTACATTAATTACGTCGGGGATGGCGACTCTAAGACGTACACGGGATTAGTGAATGCGAAACCGTATGGTGATGAGATTGAGATTATAAAAAAAGAATGCGTGGGACACGTTCAAAAGCGAATGGGAACCCGTCTTCGCGAATGCAAGAAAAAAAATCCTGGAATCGGCGGCAAAAACAAATTGACGGCAAAGTTTATAGACAAACTGAGCATTTACTATGGCTTAGCCATTCGAAGAAACAGTAACTCCAAGGATGACATGAAAAAAGCGATATGGGCAACATTCTACCATTACGGCTCAACAGACAGCAAGCCTGAACATCATTTTTGTCCCGAAGGCCCGGAATCGTGGTGCAAGTGGCAACAAGCGAAAGCTAAAGGAGAACTGAGGAATTTCCGTCACGATTATTCAGCATTGCCAAAAACGGTGTTAGATCCCATCAAACCAATTTACGAAGACCTCAGCAATGACAAATTGTTGGAACGCTGTGTTGGCGGATACACACAAAACAGCAATGAGAGCTTCAACCAACTTATTTGGAAGATAGCTCCAAAAACGATGCACAGCGGGGCAAAAATTGTTAACATTGCTGCATTTCTTGCAACATGCACGTTCAACAATGGTGTCACGTCATTGTTAGAAATTATGAACGTATTAGGAATATCAGTCGGATCGGGCGCGCACTTGTACGCTGCGCAAGAAGACGAAACTCGCATAGCGAAAGCCGAGCTGCAAGCGCAAGAACAGACTAAAGAAGGTCGAATACGGCGCCGACAACAAAATTTAGAAAATATGAACATTCCGTCGACCGTAGAAGACTTACACTATGGGCCTGGTATCGATGATTCCATGTAAGTTGACAAATTTAATGATTTATTCATTCCCAAATTTTCAAACGCGTTTTTCTCAAAACCACGTTTTTCAAATCGGTACCCAAAATTTCTCGAAAACCAATGAACCGATTGCCTTGAATTTTTTTGTGGTTATTCTATACATCATTATCTAGTACTTGTCATAGGATTTTTTTTTTCGTTGCTTAGTTTTTGTTTTATAGGCAAAATAATAACTAATTTTTGGTCGAAAAATCGCTATGTTATGTTCAAACGTCCGCCATTTTGTCATAAATCGATATTTTCAAAATCGGCTATGACAAGTACTAGATTATAGTATCTAATTTAATAATCTTTTTGGTTTTTTTGTTTCAGATGATTTTTGAAGAAACGCCAGTGGGTACCGTTTACCCGGATTTTCTTACGGCGCTCCAAAGATTATACCACAACCTCGTCAATTTTTGATTTTTTTTAATAAAAAAAATTGGACATATTCCTGAATGTGTATACTTTTAGATAGAAAAACCCCCAATCCGAAATTTCAAATAGTTTTCCTTAAAAAAATCACAAAGATGACCTTTTTTTCCGGCTCCTAGGTGTATATCTCCCCTTAAGAGGGGGGGGATGGGCTATAACTCCGGGACTCGCTTACTAGAGGGCCTCCTGAGCATCATTAAAAAATAATGTTTTTATTGTAAATGCTTTACGATTTTTTGGGAAAATTTTTTTTTTATTTTCTTGTTTTTAAATACATGAAATCAGACATGATTTCAAAAGTGGTTCGTTTACGACTTAAATGCAATTTTACCTAATTGCAAAATTTTAATTAAATTGTTATTAGAATAAGCAAATACCATCTTAAACAGTATAATTCAACAAATGAAAAGTACAATGACATTATACGTGTGTCAATGCGTGTTGATATTTTTCCAAACATTTGCATCGCGTATCGGTTATTTTTAACTATTCCTGTTGCAAATTGTGAGGTCAAAAGATCGTTTTCAGTTTTGAAAGGATAAAAAATTTGTATAGATCGTCAATGCTTGATAGCCGTCTATTATCCTTGACAAGATTAGCTATCGAAACCGAGTTACTCAGAACTCTTTTCGATGATGTTATTAGAGAGTTTGCGGAAAAAAAATGTCGGAAGAAGTATTTATAAATAAAATAAAATAAATATAATTTGTAACAGCTCTTTAGAAAATTTTAATCTACAAATAAAAAGGCAATAAGAGCTAATTAAGTTTTATACTAGAAATATATTTGTGAAAAGATTTATAACGTAAAATATGAAATATTAGACAGAAATAAATTCGTTTGTACGTTTTGATTGTCTTTTTCAACCTTCTTCAGCGCATCAATTAAAAATTAAAAATTAGTAGAAATTAACAATAAATTACTCATCACTGTCATTATAATAAAAATATACGGAGTCAAGTTATATTCTAACACACGAGATCAACGCATTTATAAAGCAAGAGCATTTTTAGTACATATAAAAGAGAGTTTACCATAACATTCATATCTTTAATGATGTTTCTATATTGTTCAGTGAGTGTCGGTAAAAATGGGATGCAAAAATACGAAACTTTTACATTTTGGTCATTCTTGTTTGTAAGATTAATATATATATATATATATATATATATATATATATGTTTGTAAATTCTACGTATTTTACTTTTAACAATGTTTTGCACAAATATATTTCTAGTATAGAACTTAATTAACTCTTATTGCCTTTTTATTTGTAGATTAAAATAAAATAAATGTAATCAAAATTATGTTAGACTTTATTTTATTTCTATTTTTTTTTATAAAAGCTGTACAAAAAAATTGATTTGTGCATCTTTTATATTAAGGGAGAGAAAAGTATAAAATCCCCCCCCCCCCGCTGATTCAGCAGAAAGCCTCCATAGAGTTAATAGCCCCGGGCCTCCAAAGACTTAAATGCGGCCCTGAGTACACGTGTCTCAGATAATTGTGTCATTGATAACTGAGATAATTTTTCTTGCGAGCAGCGTATGACAAATAAAGAATCAAATCAACATTATTATCGTATAAATGAATAGGTGCAGTGAATTCAGTCTTCTCATGTCATTAGTAAGAAATTCATAATTCTCGAGAAACTGGTACGTTTTTACACTTTTGTCATTTAATACTAATATATCATTCAATTCTCTGTATTTATTATCAATAAGTGCTTAATTTATTTTAAATATTTGTGACACATATATACATTTTAATATTTATGAGTCAAAATATCTACAGGATCGACTAAATAGGTGGTATCAAATTTTGACGTATGTAGTTCATGTGAAAACAATCCACAAAGTCATAATAAGTAGTATTCCAAAAACCATTTATTGCCGAGTTATATATAAAATATTTTTTATGTAGAAATTAATTCAATCTGCAGGAGTTCTACTGTTTTCGTAACTTTTTCACACATGTCTGTCATTTCAGAATTTGTATAAAAATGAGCCGTTTCTTATTATAATAATTATATACTTAATAAATAATATGTACATAATTATTATTACAAATTCTTTATTTTAATTATTTATTTTTTTAAATATATTTTTTTGAAATTTTTACTCTCTACTTTCAGCATAATCTTTTTTTAAGAAATTGAAACTAATAGTTATACAGAATGTCTCAGAACTGGCGGAAGTTTTTCGTAATGACAGATTTCTGGTATCATTCGGAGATAATTTTTCCTCAGCAAGAATATTCAGACACCAATAATTTTCGAATTATAAGCAGTTGAAAATAAAGGTTTTTTTTTAAACTAAGTGTTGTGGAAAAAAAATATTAATAGAATTACATTCTTCAGTTAATTTTAGATAGAGTTTGCTTTAATAGAATTTCAATATAAAGCTTAGTTATAAAGATATGTAATAACAAAAATTGGGAACATGTTAAAACTGATGGCCTCTCTCAATATTTTCACTAAGGAAAAATCGTCTCCAAATGATACCAAGAATCTGTTATTAAAAACTTTTCCGCCAGTTCTGGGACTGATCCTATATATTTTTTGACTATGTGTTTTTTTTATAGCAATTGAATCTTCTCATTAGTTTATGCATAAAAGTTATTGAGGTAAAATAATTAAAAAATAAATATTTTATAATATATTTTAAACAAATATTTTACAATATATTTTATAGTTTATGTAAAATTATGTCAATTTAAAGTACGAAATATCTCGTGAACTATTCATTTTTTGGTCATATTCTTTTTATGCCAAATATTGCAAAAAATCTATTTATATACAAAAATTATGGTAGTTCTATTAAAAAAAACAAATTTGATCTTAAAATAGTTTTGAAAATATCCATCAACTCGAAAATAAATATTCCTGCTATATTTGCTCCCTAAAACCAAGTAACTTTTGTGTGTGTGCAATTTTCTTTTTAAAAATGTATTGGTTTCTAGATATTTAGATGTCTCAATTTAAAAAAATTCATCCTGTATATATGTTGTACTAAAGATTTTTCATTTTATATCAAAAGTTTTTATCCTTGTGTTCATGTCACATTAATAATCAATTATCATTTAATTAAATATAACAGCAATAAAATCATTTAACGAATATAAACATTTGTAATGTGCAGTAATATCATCGAATTACTACGTCAGTTTTTAATTATATTTTACACTTTATACCTGGGACCATTTAAAACTAGAATAACATTGGCGAAATGGCTACAAATGACTTGAAGGTAACTACAAGAACAGTCGCAACTATTATGAATTAATTTGTTATATAATAATTAACTAGAACAACATAAACGCGCGCTGCGCACATTCTTCAATTTTATATTACAAAAATTGATGTAGTTAAAATAATATAATAAAAATATTCTTAAATAATAATCCTTAAGGTTGCCAGTAATAATTAATAAAAAACCACTCCTCAACGTTTAAAGTCGACCAGACTGGCGATAATTTATTATAAATAATTATTATATAGTCACATGAGTGACTAAGATTCTTGCGAACAGTTAACATCTATTTATTATGTGCTTACTTCTGTCAGTCTTGCATTGTTCATCAAAACAAGCGTTAACATTGTCGGTTGTTTGCATAGAAGTTGATTTACTGTTTTAAATTTGATGTACTTGAAAAGGGCTGCAATGACAGCCGAAACGTTGTATTTCAAATAATTATTTATAATAAATTATCGCCAGTCTGGTCGACTTTAAACGTTGAGGAGTGGTTTTTTAAAAATATTCTTATTAAAATAATATAATGTTATTAATATAATATTAATATAATGTAAAATAATATAATGTAATAATAATATCACTTAAACTCCGTTAATCTTTTGGCAGAAATCAGCTGATTAAAAGTCTGAACATGATAATTAAATATTGAAATAATAATACGTTTTAAAAATTAAAATAATAAAATTTAAATTAATATATTTTACAGTTATTTAAACTCAAATAATATCTTTTTGGTAAAAATTAACTGTCAAGAAATATAAATAGAATTTTAATAATTAAAATATATAAAACATTATTATTTTGAAATTTAATTAGCAAATTGAGATTTTAATCAGCTGATATCTGTCAAAAAATATTTACGTTAAAAGAATTATAACATAATATTTATAATATATTACTATATTAATATTTTTAATATATCATATCAAAATTTAATTAACAAATTGACGTTATAATCAACTGATTTCAGTCAAAAAATATTTAAAAAACAATTTCTTTGTTAAGTAAATTTTAAAATTTACTTAGCAAACGAATTGTTTTTAAATATTTAAAATAAAATAAAATGTAAAAAAATTAAAATAGTAATATCTAAATAACAATATAATACATTATCTTAGATAAATAATTTTTGACAGAAACAGCTGAACTGTTCAAAATATTAATCAAATTTAAAGTATATAATAAGGTATTTAAAGTTATAACATATTCTTTAAAACATACATTCGGCCAGAAAAAACCAGAAAAAGACATTTGAAAAGTAGTAAAACAATTGTGAAATTTTAAAAATTTATAATTCAGCAAATAATTATGATAACATCAAAGTATTTAAAGAACGAAAATGAAGTTTGGAGTCTGTAGTTTGGGAAAATTTTAGTGCCAATTACGTAGATTTATCAGTTTTGCAATGTAAATGACAAAGTGATAACCTGTAAAACTGATAAAGTAGAAGGTTTACTTTCTTGAATTGCACGGCGTAAATCCATTGGCGTATAGCTCAATGGAATAAAAAGCACGTAAAAATTCAAACTTTTTTTTCTTTAAAATGCACTTTGGCAAACACAATAATTTTTCGCTGAATTATCTTAATTTTAAAAAGAAAAGTTAGAATTTTTACGTGCTCTTTATCCCATTGAGCTACGTTAACTCTGATTCACACCGTGCAAAATTCAGAAACAAACCTTCTATTTATCAGTTTTGCAAATTAATTCTTACTCTGTCATTTGTCATTGCAAAATTGATTATTCCACGTAATTAGTACTAAAATTTTCTCAAACTTTATTTAGGTTTTTAAACATTTCGATATCATAATATTAAGTGAGTTATAAATTCTTAAACTTTTACAATTTCTTACTACTTTTTAAGTGTACCGCTTTTTTTGGCCGCGTGTATTATTTTTACTTTTGTAACATAATTAATATAAGAATTTAATTAGCAAATAAACGTTTTAAATGTTCTGATTTTCATCATCAAATAATATTAATAAAGCGTTACACTTTATTAATAAAATTGAAAATAATGTGTTATATACAATAATTAAATAGTAATATGTTGGAAAAATAATACGTTATAATATTTTAACCTTTTGATTATTTTCAATTTTATTTCATTTTACAAAATTTAGTCAATGCATGTTTTATATTGTAGAATAATTAGTTTTAGGTAAAGTCAGCGAGAAACACAGTCAGTCGAGTTCTACGTATGCAAATATATTTTATCTTAAGTTCGAGTACACTCGATCTTGTTCTTATTCTCACGATGCTTGTCGATGGTCGTATCGATATCGACTCACTTCGGCCGCTTCGTATTTTCGCGATTTCTTAGCCTGTTCTCCCACTCTTCCGCGCCACATACTTCTCATCAACACACACACACATGCCCATTCACACGCATACATTCGACTTGTGAGGAATTCGTCAATATATTATATCCTACAATATCACTTAATCACAAAATTAATAATGACATCCGCTCACAAAAGTAAGCGCGAAAGAAACAATAAATATTGTGAGAAAGAGGCAACAATATACTTCGAGATATTCGAGAATCAATAAGAAATCTTTTTTTAGAGAGATTTTTTTATATAATATATAAATAAAAAGTCATCGCGTAATATGACGTAAATACATACACAGATTAAAGATATGAATGCAAGTTTACTACGACTTGCAGAAATATAATCATTATAAAATATATTATAAAATTATTATACTTAAAATTATTATTATTAAAAATTATTATATTTTTATAAAATATTATATTTAAACATTATAATTATTAAAAGTAACAAACTCATTTATTAATTTTAGGATTTTACTGTGCAAAATAACGTTTTCATAGGAAAAGTGTCGCCTTATGTTAGTAACTATAAGAGCCTTGCAGAGTTAATATGGATTAAAATGAAGAGTAATGGAGATAAAATTGCACACGTGAGTCAATCTTTACACGTTTACTTAATCATTTTATAAAAAAAGCCATAAAACAAAAAATATTTTTTAAAGATGTATAATATTTGTTAAGAGATATAAATAATGATATATATATATATATATATAGGAAATATTAGAATTTATTTTTATACTATGTATCGTTTCTTTATGGATGTGTTTGAAAGAAACATAATGTACATCCATTAGTCTAGTAAGGCGGGTGTTTTCATGAATAAAATTTAAAAAATATTATAAATAAACTAAATTTTGCTACATTTGTTATCATTTAATTGTAAATACAATATTTTATAAGATTCTGTTAAAACTCTTGTTTAAGGGAGTCTCTTCCTTCAATAATCTTGATTTTACATTATATTGTATATTATAAATATATTATAAAGGTCATCCTCTTGAGTAACAATTAAATAGTTTCAGTCGTCGCTCATTGTTTATTATAAAGTTATTAACAAAAACATTTTTAAATATAAATCCAACTAAGAAACGCCTTAAGAGCCATACGCGGATGTTGTTGTGTATATTTCCAACAAAAATTAATTTTTTGTTGGAAATAAACAGTAGTGCACAATGCACATATTATTCTCGGTGTATTATCAATACTTAAATCTGAAATAATTTTATACTTGAGATATAGGCCGATGGCAGAGAACTAAACGTAAGCGCTTATGTCTGCCGTAGTCGTAAAGTAAGACAGAAAAAAGATGTAACTACGTAAGTCGCAAAGTGCGTAGTACGGCCCGTTCTACAATACGTCGTATGTCGCAGTCGGATGTCGAAACGTAAGCGATTGTCCAATGCGGAAATTTTGTTTTCATAAAAGAAATTTCCTCATTGGACAATCGCTTACGTTTCGACATCTGACTGTGACATACGACGTACTGTAAAACCGGCCTACATGATAGTACAACTACGCGCTTTGCGACATGATTTACGTAGTTACGTCTTTTCTCTGTCTTACTTTACGTCTACGACTACGGCAGACGTAAGCGCTTACGTTTAATTCTCTGCTATCGGCTATAATTCCATAAACCCCTCTAAACCCCCCTAACGGAATAAAGAAATAAATAAATGTAAGAGAAAAATATAGATCCAAAAGTCGCTGAATCGGGAATCGAACCCGAAACTTTTCGCTTGTCGGGTGACTGGGGCAACTGTTCTTCCAACTGAGCTATTCAGACCCTTTGATTCTATACTTTTCTCTGCCTATAAGTATTCTAAGTAACGTTTTTTCAGCCGGCATGTATAAACAATCAGACCACGGTCTTATATACAGGTCAGGACACTTATTGAAATGAAGTGTATAAAAAATGTAACCAATATGGCGGCCAACTCAGGCCTGTTATTGGCAGATAATATGGTATAATATAATATAGATAAAGTATAGTATAATATAGATCCGTAAAGTATGCAAAAGTTTTTTCATTTTTTAATTTTGAATGACGTTTATTAACTATTTATGTAATAAAATATTTTAGTGTTTTACTTGATAAGGACCACAACCACATGGTCGAAACGTCGTGAAACTGAATAAATGATTTACTTGCTAGTCTGGTCGATTAATTTCTACAATTTCTATTAATCAATAATAACTAAAAAAGATCGACCAAACTGGCAATAATTTATTAACGACGTTTAATATAAATACGACGTTTCGACCGTCATTGCGGTCCTTTTCAAGTATATCTGCAAAAATATTAATAACAATTACAAGCAATTACACAAAAATAATTATTGAAAAATAAGAACAACAAATTAAATAATAAAAGAAATAACGTTACCAAAAACTCAGAAATATAAATCACATTTATAAGATGGTAGTGAACAATTTAATTCTATTGCAGACTGGCATCACTTCAGCAATTATTTTAAAGAACAATGCGAAAAACGCTATACTACATACAGAACGTCTGAAGCGATGTTACAAGTTCGAAAGCAACTTAGTCACTAACCGTATGACATACAAATTATGTAGATCCAGTAGTTAAAAATAACAGTAACAAAGTCAAATAAATAAATACAATTAAAGAGCATCAAGCACACGATCATAAATCACGCTGAAATTCTCCGTATCTTTTTGTAAATTAATAACATTGCTATGTTTTTTGATGTAAAACATCTCTGCGATTTCTTTTTTCTTTGTGTGTTTTTCATGATGTAAAATCTTAGGAGAATCCCACCGGAAATCATGGTCATTTGAAGTACGGTGCAGACTGACCACAGAATGAGATAAACTATCTTTTTTAACATTATTACGATGTTCTTTAATACGTGTCTCTAAATGTCGTTTTGTCTGTCCAATATATATCGAATTACAACATGCACATTCAATTTTATAAACCACTTCTGTTCGCTTTCGAGTGTCAAGCCTATCCTTGCCTTTTTTAATAAGTGTGTCTAATTTTTTGGGATGGTATATACTACATCACAACCATTTTTATTAATACAACGTGTAATATTTACTAAGACCTTTTATGTACGGTAAGAGAATACATGATCGAACATCGAATCTGTTTTAATCTTGTGAGCTAAGATTACGATAAAAAATAAGAGATTTTATCCTTTCTTGATATTCTTATTAACCACGAATAGAGGGTAACAATTATTAAGTAATATTTTTTTAACAATATTAACATTTTCCTCGTGAAACCTGGGATCAGATAGTAAGATAGCTCTATCAACAAGACTTGTAATCACACTAAGCTTGTATCGCATTGGATGGCTTGACAAAAAATTAATATAACGACCCGAAAATGTTGGTTTACGAAACCAATTGGTGGTCAATCTGCCCTCTTGTCGGAAAAGGTTGGTGTCCAAAAAACTCGACGAATTATTTTTCTCTAGTTTGTACGTAAATTTCAGGCACGTATAAAAACAGTTAAAAACCATAAGCATAAGTTCTACTTTTTTTTTTGAATAATTGTAAAAATATTGTCAACATATCTAAAATAACAAAGAGGTTCAAAATCCAACTGACTTAAACAATGTGACTCTAAATCCTTCATAACAATGTCTGCCAGTATTGGAGACAAGTGTCCTGACCTGTATAAGACCATGAATCAGACTAACTCAAGGTTCTTTAATATTAAACATAAATCCAACTGTTAGGAATTGACAGTGAAACTCCTTAAATCAATGTAAAAACTGAACAAAAACTTAGAATGTTTATTGAAAATGTTACACGTCTGTCACTTCTCTCTGTCTCCTTCGTAACAAACTCGCAATTGTTTTCTTCTTTGTGTTAAGAATAAAGGACGATTTACAAAATGTATGGGCTGATAAAACAGAGTTGATGATGGTAATACATAGATACGTAGTGATGGTAGTTAACCAGATTTGTATACATGCGAATTCGTACATCCCGGCCGCCTTGAAGTATAACTTCAAAAAAAAAAATTATAAACGATATATAAAGAAAGCTAAATATATATTAATTTGTCGCTGTGGTTTCTAACTTCTTTAAATTGAACATAAATATTATATTGATAATATAGTAGTGAAATACAATACGAATAACATCAATTCATTCAACTAGTAAAATACATATTTTTGGTAATGAACGCTGAATAACTCTTCCGCTAGTTTTTAACAATACGACTCTCACCAGACCATCATTGCCGGGGTGAAGTTCGCATATTCTGCCGGTATGCCATTTTAATGGAGGCAGATTTTTGTCACAAATTAATACTAGTCTACCTACTTGTATTTCATTATTGCACGCAGTATTTTTCCACTTAGTACGCTGTTGCATTAGAGTGACATATTCTTTAGACCAACGCTTCCAGAAAGACTGTTGGAGTTGAATTATGAGTTGATACCGATTAACACGATTTGATGGAACGTCAAGTACTGACTCTTCCGGTAATGCTAAAAGAGATGTTCCGATCAAAAAATGTCCAGGCGTTAACACTTCTAAATCATCTGGAGCGTTGCTCAACTGACATAGTGGTCGAGAATTAAGTATAGCTTCTATCTGGGTGAGCACGGTATATAATTCTTCAAATGACAACAAAGTCTCGTTAATCACAGCTTTAAGATGAGTCTTAACCGACTTTATATTCGCTTCCCATAATCCTCCCATATGGGGAGAATGAGGCGGAATAAATTTCCAAGATATTCCTTGAGTAGATGCAAAGTTGATAGTTTTCTCTTGAAAGTCTGAACATCATAAAAGTTCACCTAAAGATTGCAGTGTGTCACTAGCTCCAAGAAAATTCTTGCCATTGTCTGACCAAATAGATTCACATTTACCTCGGCGAGATATAAACCTTTTTAGCGCATTTAGAAATGTTTCCGAGGTGAGATCTGAAGCTAACTCTATATGTACAGCCTTTGTGGCCATACAGATAAAAAGACATACATAAGCTTTACCTGATTTGTTTCTCGACAATTTAATGTTGAAGGGTCCTGCATAATCAACCTCAGTGTTATTAAAGACTCTAGATGGAGTGGCTCTATGAGGCGGTAAATCTCTCATACGTTGTTCTAAACTACGGGGTTTTAATCTAAAGCAAAAGATACATTTTTTAAGTATGCGTTTTATCGCATTCTTAGCATGTACTATCCAGTAGGTTTCACGAAGCATTGTTAAAATCAATTGTGGTCCCATGTAAAAATTATTTAAATGCTGATCGTGTATAATTAAATCTGTCAATGTACCGTTAGATGATAGAAGGATAAAATGTTTTTGTGAATAAGATAATGGTGCATTTTTCAGCCGGCCGCCGACACGAAGTACTCCTTCTTGATCTATTATAGAATTGAGTGACAAAATCTTGCTATGTGAATCAATTGCCTTATTTCTTTGAAGATTGTGCAACTCACGAGAAAATGCTTCCCTTTGATGAAGTTTAATTAAGACAGTCATCGCATTCCGGAATTCTTCGATGGTAAATGGTCCGCAAAGTAAAGGATCCTTTGATCTTGACAATGTGCAGTTTATCCTGAATCTCAGACATGATGCAATCAATCTTTTTAGCTTAATC